TGCATTTAGAATATTACATTTAAATTTATATCGATTATACACCTGAAGATGGTTCATTGAAAACCGAAACATGTCGTGAAAAAGATGATGCTCTAATTGTAAATCGAACATTTCGATAGAAAGAGCATCATTTTAATATATTTTAAATATTTTAAATATTAAATGTTAATTGTAGTAATAATATTTTAATTTTTTAATATTTAATAAAATATTTTATTGTGATTAGACGGTTAAAATTAAACAACCTCAGACAACGTAAGTATGAATTTGTTTTTCCTCGTTTACATTTTATATTGCTTTGTGATCTAGCTAAATCGTCAGTCATGTGTTACTTACGGCTGAAAGATGCATATTTATTTGTAAGTGAACTTTAAAGTGGCGCTGTTATCAGTATTGTATTTGGATACGGTTTTAATATTATAATTTAGCCAGAATTTATCGAGGATCGTAATGAAGTGTCTCTGTCAGGTTTGGTGTGATTGGTTGTTATGCCACAGCGCTGTGTGGAACCCGCCGCCTTCCTGCATCGACTACAGGGTGGGGTAAGTATCTTAAAGTATGAGAAAGTGTTGTGATGTATTCCGGATGTGTATGGAGTCGAAAGACGCCAACGAGGAAGCTTGTGCAGTTTCCTTGTGTTCGAAGAAAGCTCTCAGAGGTACTTCGTCGACACTCGTCCAATAGGATGCCAATATCCCCCGAAGATTGAGATATTATTTTGTAAACATTGTATAGTAAATCATACTGACTTGAAGTAGACTTGCAATTTGAAGTGTTACCCTCCATAACTGTTTACAGAAGCACTTCCTGTGGCCATTGGACGCTTTTAGACTCATGCTGACGCCATCAAGCTCCCTTATCAATAATAGCACGAAATTTAGAAACACCCTGTATAAGAAATGACGGTGGATGAGTTTGAAATTGTGTGGAAGAATTTGGGCGTGTCTTGTTTTCAGCCACCGTACCAGAATTTACTTAGGAAACTGTTTCTTCAATCGGGATTCGACCTGGGGACTTCCGAATATGAAGCAGTAAAATGTGGTCGTGTTTTCTGTCTGCACAGCCCGCCTTCTGATTCTGCTTTGTCTTCCAACAGCGTCTCATCATCTGTTTACATCCTAGCTGCAGTAATTCCTTTCTGTTCGAGTAACTCCACTGGGTGTGTACGGACGATAGGCGTTCTCTTATCCTCGTTTAAATCCAGGACTAAGAGTCCAGTTAAGTGTCTTTAGTCAGGCAGTAGTTGACTGACGTGGAGCTTAACCCTTTGAAGCCGAAGATCGTCTGAATATTATTTATGAATTCAGTCCGTACCGCGAAGAAAACACTACACCTCACCATTACGAAAATCAGCTGGTTAACCCTTTGAAGCCGAAGCTCGTCTTCATATTTTTTACGAATCCAGACCGTACCGCGAAGAAAACACTTCACTTAACCATTAGAAGTCGAATCAGGCGGTACCACATAAGATTTAAGAAAAGAACATCCCGGTCAAAGCCTTAATCTTTGTTCACCGCGGGCCCTCGGAACAGAAATGCGAGAATTTTGCATCGCCTTAGTGTTATGTTACACGCGTGGCGTCCCTTAATTGGCTTAGCGAAGACGCAGACTTTGGCAATTTCTGAAGGTGCCATCAGCATTTGCGCGCACAAGGGGAGAACAAGCGCTGGGATGATGTTTATTGGCCGTGTCAGTAATTAGCCACAGAACTCGTTTTAAGGGCCCCGACCAAGTGCGGGTATAAATGATGGCGCGCGGGGTCGTTCGTCTAACTGAACTTGTCAAAAGTATGTTAGGTTTTTTTGCTCTCGTAAATGACAAGGATGTAATAAAGCTGCTGTTAACGATGGTTAGTGAAGGAGAGGAACACTAAACGAACACTGTCCTTTTATTAAAAATTTCGGTGTAATCGGAATTTACCAGCGTAAAATCAAAATCTAAATAAAGTTTTTTTTTTTTGGAAATGTTGTTTATCCGTTGATGTAAATCGCCAGCTGGATTGAAAGCCTCGGTTATTGCAGATTCGTCTTACGTTTGGTGAAGTTGAAGCCTTAGGATGATCTTCTGGAAGTGTCTGGATCTTTTGCAAATGTTCAGGTGCCCGCTGGAACTCCTGAAAGTTAAACCTAATTACCGGCCATTCATCGGATCTCAGAAGGTTTTAATTTCACTGTTTGTGTGTCTGCTGTCTCACTCTGCGTTGTACATTTTTTTCTCTAAATACCTCCTCTGCCCCGTTGCTGATGTTACGATGGGGTGAGACTTAGTAGTCTCCGTGGAACTGGCTCATTAGCCATCCTCCTGACGACTGTTTCGATTTAAGGACGTCATTCCTTGCATATTCTAAATAATTTCGCATTTATTATGTATTTATAAAGTAACTTAGCTTGTTTGTTTATTTTCAGAGTTTATTTACCTTACGTTGTTAGAAAGATGTAACCGTATAAATATGAGTTTGTGATTTTTCGTGCTAGATGGGTTTGGACGACGTCGTTCGCTGCTTAATAACCACAAAACAATTTCATTACAACATCTGTGTTCAGAAAGGGGCGGGGTTTGATCGACAAAATCCGACAGCGACTGGTAAATGTAATTAGATCGACTATCGCCTTTATTATCTTCTCGCTTGTCTGTTCACAATGCGGGATGAAAAAAAAGAAGACTTAAAACGTCTTGATATTCCATGAAAGACGGCCGCGAGGGGTACTCAACATTAAAATTCATGGGTCGTAAAGAAACATGTACTCCTTAGTGCAACAGTTACATGGTGAAGATGCCATCGCTGGTAGATGGGCTTAGAGCAATCGATTTGGTACGCTCACTCGCCGATGTACGCATCGTCCATCCGTGATCATGAACGGCCAATCTAGCGTTCTTTTGAGATGCGTGGATCGAAAAGAATGTATAATAATGGTAACTCGTGCAGGTGGCATCATGTATAAATAAGTAAGTGGAAAATGGAAGAAGGTGACGAGGCGACGTAATTAATGCAGATGCAATTAAGTCCTGAGGTTATTGGACTGCCTGGTCCAAGTTGTTTGTTGGTTCGTAAGACGGCAAAGGAGATTCACTTTATCTGCTGTAGGATTGTATTCCCCTGTAAAGTAAAGTTTGTCCCACTATACGCCATGTAGGCGCTTGGGGGGAGAGGAGGTATAGCTCCTCTCTTTCTTGACCTCGGCACTAGATGGGGGTGAGTGTTCAGCATCACGCCCGTTCCGGCTTTACCCCATAGCAAGGATCCCGGTACCCATTGTAGAGGAGGCTGGGTGGGCCCCAGAGCCGGAGGAAAAATCCTCTGCCCCCGTCGGGGATCGAACCCCGGTCGTCCAGCCCGTAGCTAGTCACTATACTGACTGAGCTATCCCGGCTCATTGTATTCCCCTGTAGACCTGTAAATAATTATAAAACATTCAGTGTTGTATGGCTAATTAGAGGAGGGCCCTTATTGAGAAACTAGTGGTTCCTTGACTTGAAATTCCCAAATTTGTGGCACCCAGACGTCCTATTTCTTCAAGATTCATTTTGTATTATCCTCTCATCTATGCCAAAGTCTTCCCATTGACCTCTTACGTTCATTTTCTGTTGAATAGTTTATTCCGAAGAATCTGTTACAGCCTGAGATGATTTTTAAGTTGTCATGAACACGTCATACACGTGTATTCTCATATCAGACATTAACACCGTATGCCACATAACAGAATCCTGTGACATGTGCGTTGGCCACGAGCTTAGTTTGGTCTGGAAAATATTAATTTGTGTAAATAGCTCGAGTTGTGACAAATGTTTGCGTCAGAGAATGGCCGCCTATTGTTCGCAGACCTGCAGGAGATGCGTGGAGCTGGCTTGCATCTCTGGTCAACCTTCTTGAGAAGTTGGAGTATCAGAAGACTGTTTTGGTTACGGGACCCAGAGAAGGTCAGTGTCTATCCCGATTAAGTATTTAAGATATTTTGGTTTTTGTGTTAGAAACCTTTTCTTTGATGAGCGCATACGAAGGGCGTGACTTTGAAAACGTAAGTCTGATTTATGATAACAACGCGATAGATGCGTGTCGAGAATTATCCCTTCTTCACCCTGAAGTTTGTAACTCCAATATTTGCTGAGATATTGAATAGTCGTAAATGTTTTGACGTGACTAATCACTGAAAGCTAAGTTTTCAGTAGTATGCGTGTTTTGTATGCACTGATGTGTTTGTAAGGAGGAATTGAAATTTTAATACAATTAAGTTTGAATTGTAACATTTTAATTTAATAACAAAACTGGTTTTGCGAAGATAATGAGACGATTAAACCCTGGAGACTCATTTTAACCGAATACTCGTACTATTTAATGCATCACTGATACGAGTGTGTTTGGTTGTTTATGTGACGAGCGGATTATGTTGCATCAGGTTTACGTTAGAAAGTACATCTTACGTTTTGAGCTTTTGGCACTGCTTTAACTTCATTACTTTTTACTTAATTTTGTGATGGACTGGCTGTACGCATTGAATTTGAATTATTTGTGAGTCACTTTAAGAATAAACTCCACTAGTGATATTCAGCAGAAATGGTCAGGTTAGAATGAACGTGTCTTGTCGTACTCGTGTGACATTTTTAAATGTGTGTAACGTTTAATAAATAGAGGTCTGAGTCGGTATTTTTGATTTCATATTTTCAAACCCACGATACAGTAATTATTGAGCCCAAGATTAAAAAGTAATGTAACTGATTATGGTTTGTTTGCACCGAGAATACCACAGTTTTTGTTCGCAGATTATGAACTTGTTAGACTGCCAGAAGATTCCACTTTATGTGGTTTTACTCCGCTGATGTACAATGACCAGGAACCCATTTATACGAGCAGGGAGACCGACATGGTAAGCCTTCTTTTGTTAGCAGATACAATCCTGTATCTTTACTACGTGGCGTGTTTATGTATTTGTATTTGAATGCTGTGTGCTGTTTCTTTATTCTGGTGTTGAAGAAGTTTTTTCCAGCTTTCCTTAAAAGTCTCCCTGTAGCAACTGACATGGGAGATTCTGTGACATATTAAGAACGTCGGGGTCCACAGTGGCCATGGGTTCGAATCCCACTCAAACCATGGATGTCTGTGTCGTGCTGTCCTGTGTACAGGTAGAGGCCTTGCGACGGGCCGATCCCTCATCCAAGGAGTCCTACCGAATGTCTATAGATCGAGCCAACGAAAAGTTGGGACCCGCAGTGCTCAGGCACTTGAAGAACGGGTCGTTCCCAGTATCCAAATATTAAGAATGGTTGTCATCAATAATTGACTTTTTTGGCCAAGTTGATTAATTCATTAAACAAACAAACAAACAAACAGGCTTTGGTCACTGATTTTTTCCTTATGAGTCTGTGAATACATGCAGACGTACACTGCTTTAGCATACAGATTATATTTTTAATATATTATTTAAAATTACTGGTAGCATTTAGGATGCGTGTTTGTAATTTTTGATGAATCTTATTTTATGCCATCGACAACTCTTCATTTCACGTCTTTGTTTAATGGAATGGAAATGTCGTAACTGTACCTGTTTCAGAACGGCGTGATTGAAATTAATTTTTAATATTATAGTCGACGTGCTTGCATTCTGAGTAATATTGTTGTTCAACGATTTCTTTTTCAGGAGCTGGCTTATGTAGTTTTAAGGATCAGAAAAATAGTTTTCTTTGGTACCGTGTTCCTGTGTGGGGTTGACCCGCCTGTCTTAAAGCTACAGAAATTTGATAGTGGATTTAGCGAGTATGTTTCTGTAGTGGAGTCGTCGAGTCAGGGTTCACCGTCTTCGCTGCCTGAGGAGGACCAGGTCAGTACGAGCGTGTTCTCCGTCTTTGCTGTTTTTCTGACCTTATTAAGAAGGCTTTTTCTACCAAATTCATGTCTCATTGTTTTTGTATTTTAATATCTTGAACCCTTCTGTCTGATTTCGGTTAATCACCCTGTAGTTTCGATGTCTGAGTCCATCTGGATTTCAGAGAAAGTTGCTACAGCGTATTTATAAACGTCCTGTATTATTATACATCGTATTAAATTTTATGGCGCGTAATTTTATTGTAGTGACAATAGTAAGAAAGTTTATGTATTTACTGAACTATTTTCGTATGTGTTATTCATGTAATATGTGGATCTTTACGTAATTTGTGCCACGGGAAAATTTTAAACGTTAAATTAGACTTTTAAATTAAGTTTAAACCCTTTATTAGATGTGACACATGATTAAATTAATTAAGTTTGTCTTATTCAAACAATTTTTAATCCAAATTTCGTATGGGACGTGTTTTCTGCTGTGTGTGCCTGCAAAAACGGCATTTGTTTTGGATGTGATGTGTTAATTTCAGAGTGATTCGGAATTGGTAGTGGAGAGCTTTAGCGAGGATGAAGATGGCGACGCAACTGTTGACAAGGAAGGTAGAACAGAACAGACATCTGTTTCTGGCAAAGAATCGGATCCTAGCTCAGCTGTGGCTCCTGCAGAGATACAGAATCTGCTGCACAGAAAGGAAGAACTTGAAAGACGACATCGCAAACAGGAAAGACATCGACAGCGAGTGCAGGTAGGAAGCCGCTGCTTGAACCCGAATGCAACATTTTTGGTTAAGGAACTCCTCCAAGAATATTCCGGAAATGTTTTCTGCCTTCTTGTGGATGGAAATGTTGGTTTTAAGCAGCAGCATTGGCCACCTTCGATAGGGTCGTAGGCTCGTGCAAATGAACGTGGAATAAATTGGCCACCTTCGATAGGGTCGTAGGCACGTGCAGATGAACTTTGAAGATACACCATAAAAATATTGCGTATGGAGTCTTCTTGTACAGTTTGTACAACAAAAATTAACCACTTCAAATTCCCAAACTGGAACTGACGTAAGCATCGGCTGGTGTCATAATTTAGGGATTTATAATCCTTTTGTGACTTTTCTGCGTCGTCCATTTATGGAAGCGGACGCCAAAATGTCTGCCGAATTGGAAGAAACACTGGAATAAATGTCGGTAACCTTTCTGAGTCGCGCGACACGTCCTGACAGCAGAGCCCAGGTCTGTGTTTTGCCTTGTTCTGGTGTTTAAATGAAGAACTCATTTGTGAGTTCAAATTCCGATGTCTACATTTGTATATTATTCAACGTCATGTTTCGAAACTTCTGAAATCGTAGAATGAATTTGATTAGTAAAGCCAAGTAACAGCTTACGTCGACAGTTGTCGCCATTATAGAGGCTCTGCACCCTTCTTTGGTCGTAACAGCCACGGTGGTCTAGCGGTCAGAACGCTGGCCTTGTAATCCTGGGGTCTCCGGTTCGATTCCGGGCGGTGCCCGAATTTATAACTTGTGTTGGGCAAGGCCGTGGTCTAGGCAACACGGAGTTTTCCTCCGTGGCATCCCAACAATTACTCCATTCACACACAGAAGAAGGCAATGGCAAACCACTTCTGGATCATCTGCCAAGAACGTATATGAACAGGTCCCAGTCCGAGAAAAGGATGGAAGGATCCGGTTCATATGGACCTGTCGTCAGACATAACACTAAATAAAATATATAAACAGTAGCGATAAGTCATTACAACTGTAGGCGTATTTTGTGTGCGGAAGCATTATGTTAATTAGTTTTTTTTTGTAGGTGCAAATTATTCGCAGCACAAAACTACTACGAACGCCTGACACTGCATAATCGTGTCTGTAGGCGTGGCTTGGCAGTGCAGTTTCTGGTGCGCGCACGATTTGTGATCTGATTACGACGTTGAAAAGTAATTTTGTGGGCTTTACGTTTGTTCCTATGTAAATATTTACGCGACAGCCAATGTTTTTTTTGAAGTGTTCCGACGGACTTTTTATCCTGAATCCATACGGTACTCCGTGTGACGCCGACCAATGAATGAGCTCTGGCTAATTTCGGCGGGAAAGGCTAGAGCTCCAACTGCATGTTTACATCAGGATTGAACTAAACTGAAATCAACTTTAGCCAACTTCAGCAGCTTTGTGGACAGTAAATTCGAGGGGACGGTCCGACTTTTCTGCGGGAGATTTATCAGCCACGTGCTCATCGTCTAGATATTACACGCAACAACGCGTTCAGTATAAAAAATGTCACGCTACATTTCGTATTTCTTCTATGCGTGATCCTCTGTTTAGGTACGCGTTTACACGAACATAGTTTTACCGTTAATATAAAAGTTTATCTTATCGGAAGCTTTTCTCTTGTGACTGAGAAGTAAAGTGAGCCCAAAGCCTTTTGATGTTTTTCGAATCTATTTTTCCCCTGTCTTTGCCGAGTAATTTATTTTTTCGTAGTGAGAAAATAAATTGTTTTCAAAGTAGTCCGTGACCGTGTAATATCTGTATGGCTTAGCTAAACAAACTCAATGGAGAACAATCTTTTAGGAGCTGTTGGCACGTGATTTTCGTCTACGAATCCACAGCGTCCATTACAGTGTTCACAAGACTCCGCCAGGCTCAACCAGCTGAATTATCCACACTTCGGATTGTGTTTAAATTGCATTTAATTTTCAACTCCCATCAGCACTTTGGTTTTCCGAATAATCTTCTCCAGAATTTTTTTCCGACTAAAACTCTGTTCGCAGTTTTCGTCTCTCCGATGCAAACGCATGCTAAGTTCCCCACCCATCTCCCCATTAATTATCAAGCTCCTCATTTTGTAATGTTATTTTTGTTCAAAGCCCAATTATTCTTTTCGGAACTTTCAGAGTTTATGAGATTTGAAGTTGTCATGGCGGTCGAAACGTCGATGTTACTGTTGTGGGTTGTGACGTTATATTGACGTGTATGTAGTCGCGAACGTTTCGGATGAATATACTGCCTCCATCTTTAGGTCTGAATATTATCCGGCTTTAGGATCGAACTTCGGGGCTTCAGACACCGATTAACGTCGCCCCGGAGGATGTGAGATGGAGCAGCCCGTGGACCTCGATCGGCCTCGGTAGTTTCGCAGGGCGCGACGGGAAAACCAGACAGTGAGATGGGATTTCTTATAAAAAAGTGACTGAAATCGCTCGCCTTTTGCATTTTGAGGTTTTCGACGCGAACTACACTTACTCATGAACTTAATTTATGTGAACTTACATCTCCAGTTCGATCTACATGTCCAGCTAATCGTAGTCAAAAGGAATTTATCGGCTTTGAACGGATGCACGTCCGACGTTTTTGGTCATTTCGCTTCAGGTCAACGTCGTACTGGTTTCTTTCTTGCCGGATGGATGTTAAACATTCGTCAGAACGCCTTTTATGGTGTTTTAGCTCAAGCTTCTAAAAAAAATAACAATGCGGGTAGGTACATGAGTGCCCCGAGCGGGTTTTGAACCCGAGACTGCAGCGGTCCCAAGGCCATGTGCGCCTTAGACCCCCCCCCC